CTAATCTGAGGAAAAAATAGAAATCGTTTACACGCTATCACTCTAGTGGATCTAAAACTGACCGTTAGTGGAAGAAAGGAAACTAAAGCGGTTCTTTCAATTAATTTGCACAAGGGTGTAGATGGATTGATATTATATTCAGCAGCCTTTTCTTTGTTTGTAACAAAATGTTCTTATTATTTAATACTTTGTTTAGATTTTCCAAGGCACCTTTCACTATTCCAATACACTTTGGGATTTCACTGTCACAATTTATGCCATCTGCTAAAACACTTACGTATTTATTTGCTTATGACAGCTCAAATTAAAATATTTGTTCGTATTTTTTTTTCCTTTTAAGACATCCTACCAACAAAAATGGCTTTCATTTTGTAGATGAGTCTGATGATTTTAAGTGTTTCCATTGTCAGGTTGTCTTTTTTTACCTGAACGGAAGCGGAAATCAGAGTGTAAACAAATACTAAGTATTTATATGTATTTAACAACTGATTCATACATCCTCATTAGAAAAGAAGCTTACTTGTGTCTCGATACATTTGTGACATCATCATAGCGCACAAACTCCATGACACCAATTCCTACTTTTTTACTCTTGTGCAAACCGAGGCGATATCTGCCATTTTGAATCTCATGCAAACCAAATCTATGTTGGTTGATTAATTGATTTTGTTTAGCGGCATATCAACGTCTAAGGGCTATTTAATGCCGATATCTAAATATTTTGAGCAGAATTTTTAGCTTCAACTACAGCATTTTTTGTCATTTTACTATAAATATATATTGTTGGTAACTTTTATATCATACAAAATGTATTGCTGGTATTTTTACTATAAAATCTATTTATATTTTCATAGTGTTTTGTTTTTGTTTGTGGTTTCTAACACGTGCTACCACCCGGCCAAATCTATGTTTACTGTGTTTACTCGTAAAAATGAAACATATTGGTACCGTTTTTAGTCTAGTGCAACGTAGATCTTTATCTTCCTTTATGGCTCTTATGCAAACTAAATATATGTCTATTTTTTTTAACTCTCACGTAAATCCAACCAATGTCTAAATGTTCGGACTAATTTCTACCTACGTCAGAATTCTGCATTAAATATCAATAATCCCAACAATAATCCCAACAATAACCGCAGCAATAATCCCAGAAATAATCCCCGCAATAATCCCAACAATAATCCTAACAATAAACCCAACAATAATCCTAACAATAAACCCAACAATAATCCCAGAAATAATCACAGTAATGATACCAACAATAATTGTAGCAATAATCCCAACTCTAATCCCAGGAATAATCCCAGCCATAAACCCAACAATAATTCCAACAATAAAAATATCTGTGATAATCCCAGAAATAATCCCACCGATAATCCCAACAATAATCCCAACAATAATCCCAGCAATAATATTCGCAGCAATAATATTCGCAGCAATAATATTCGCAGTAATAATCCCAGCAGTAATCCCAACAATTATTCCAAAAATAAAAACAAGCAATAATCCCAGAAATAATCTCAGCAATAATCCCAAAAATAATCCCAACAATAAGACCAGCAATAATACCAACAAAAATCCAAGAAATAATCCCAACAATAATCCCGGGAATATTCCCAGGAATTATTCCCGGAATAATCCAAGTAAAATCCCAACAATAATCCCAGCGATAATCCCAGAAATAATCCCAACAATAATCCCATCGATAATCCCAACAATAATTCCAACAATAATCCCAACAATAATCCCAGCTATAATTCCAACAATAACCGCAGCAATAATCCCAACAATAATCCTAGTGATAATCCCAGAAATAATCCCGGCGATAATCCCAACTATAATCCCAGCAATAATCCCAACAATAATCGCAGAAATAATCCCAACAATAATCCTAGCAATAATCCCAACAATAATCACATCAATTATCCCAACAATAATCCCAACAATAATCGAAGCAATAATAACAGAAATAATCCCAAGAATAATCCCAGCAATAATCCCAACAGTTATCCCAGAAATGATCCCAACAATAATCCCAGTAATGATCCCAGCAATAATCCCAATAATAATCGCAGCAATAACCCCAACAATAATCCCAGAAATAATCCCAGCAATAATCCCAACAATAATTCCAGCAATAAGCCCAACAATAATCCCAGAAATAATCCCAGCAATAATCCTAACAATAATCCCAGCAATAATCCCAACAATAATTGCGGCAATATTCCCAAAAATAGTCCCAACAATAATCCCAGCAATAATCGCAGCAATAATCCCAACAATATTCACAGCAATAATCACAGAAATAATCCCAGCAATAATCCCAACAATAATTCCGACATTAACCCCAGCAATAATCCCAACAATAATCGCATTTTTGTTGTTGCTAACATAAGTTCTTGTCGTTGAATAATTGTTATGCGAATGGCCGAAGTCGCTCGCTCAAAAAACGTTTATACAGTTTTACATACTGATCGAAGTTCACTTATTTCATCGAAAT